TATCGTTTTTAGTTTTCACGTAACACTTGGTTTTCTGGAAAATTCGACCGTTTTTACAAAAACCCAGTTTTTTCGAAAACTGGACCTGACCCAGCAATTTGATTTTCGGATTCGTATTTAGGGTAAGGAACTCTATAAGAATTACATAGTGGCTATTGCAAAAACTAACATAGGTCAAAATTTGTTTCACAGTGTATACCGGGTTAAATTGACTTATTCAATTTTTTATTGCAAAATGACGAACGACATTAAATAATTAATCAGCTTAAACTTTTGTACAGAGAGGTGTTTATGTTCAACCATATTGTAACTTCAAAGTTACAAAATATATTCGTTTAAATATAATTATTGAAACTATTGAATACATTGTTAATTTGTTCTCGTATGTTGATATTTATTAATTTCATACTGCCTAAATTTTGTTGTAATCACGAAACAAAATTCGGCCCATAGAGGGTTAAAATAACAAAGTCAAAATTGTAATTCGCATCGTAATCGACAATACAGATGTTTTTATCTTAAGTGGAATCGTTTTCCATAGCTATATGAATAAATTCAAAGTTCACGGATCTTATCGGAAGAGAGAAGTCGATTTAATTTTAATACAACAACAGGATTATTGAAGTACACGCTTAATTTTAATAAGTATTTTATCAAACACAGTTTTTACGAATGGTTGAGAATGATGGTTGAGCCGGTGAACGCGTTGGTGGTCGTAGATATGCAGAACGATTTTATCGACGGATCGTTAGCTTTACGTGATTGTAGAGCTAATCAAAATGGTTTCGACGCGGTGGAACCGATAAACCGTTTGATCAAACACGGATTTTTCGATAAAATTATTTATTCGCTGGATTGGCACCCCGAAAATCATATCAGCTTCTACGAGAATCTGCATTCGCGAGAACTTCATACAGACTCGAAGGTACGTGATGCCACCGGAAGTCGCTGAAACCATTAACTCATCGAAATCGATCATTCGTCGTTTTTCCGTTTTCAACGTGAAACCAACAATAAATTGAAAATTACTTTTACCAAGTTATTGTCGGTTAAATATATAATTCTTGCAGTTATACATGTACAAGGTTTGCACTATTTATGCTGTCCGCGATTATCTCCTGAATTTAAATAATACTTATTGCGACTGTCGGGTAAATTATTTTTTCAAATTTGCATTCTACGTCGTTGAAGGATGTATGTGTTATAAACATGTAATTTATTATATTATGTAATCGTTGGGCTTGCGTAATGGATTCTTAGAAAGAGTTTAAAAGAACATGACTTCAAACTAAGTGCATTTGTACCATTGTTGTTAGGACTTTTGCGAAAAAATTTAATGAAATTCAATTTAATCAGTCATTTGAGCGCTACGAATATTACCATTGAATATTTTAGGCTTTAAAAAATCAGTTAAAAATTGTTTTTGGTTTATTTGGTCCATTAATTAGGTTTTTAGAGAATACACCGCGTTGAGAACTTTTGTTGTTGTTGAGAAGCTTATATGCGTTTCTTTGTTCACGACCGACAATTTATAGCGCAACTATGACTCGAGTGATCGTTGACTCATTATTACATGTTAATTATATATTATCCAAACTCCGTACGTTATAAATTTCAAAACGTTTTATATAGGAAAACCCTACACTTTCGGATTTTCAATACTTTATATTTTTGTAATACAATTATTTCTTTCTTTCTAATTTATTTGTACAAAAGATTCCAATAAGTCTGGGTGGTTGCAGGTAACGAAGGAGGAGGCAAAATTATTTGACACAGTGGTATTCGCGAAACCTTATTTGGAGCAGACACTGTGGCCGAAACATTGCGTCATGTACAGCTGGGGTGCCCAGTTGCATAAAGATCTGGTGATCGTGCCTGGTTCGGAACAGGTATCGAAAAACAAAAGAAAATACAATAAAATAACTTATTCTTCGCTTTTCCTGTTATCAACAAATCTTTTTAATCTGTGATCTTGTATAGTGTCAAGTCTATAAGGTAATTTGAATTTTTTCATTAAGGAGAGACTTCTCTTCTGGATTTTCTAGGTACTAAAGGGTAAAGACCCCGAGAAGGAGGTTTACTCGGCATTTCTTGAGAAAGATTCGTCAGGTTCCAGCGAGTTGCTGAAGATTCTTCGTAGGTCCGACGTTACACATGTGTTTGTTTGCGGTGTAGCTTACGATATCTGTGTGAAAGCCACTTGCTTAAGCGGTCTTCAATTGGGATACCCTCTTGGGGTGATCAATGATTGTTGTCGCGGCGTAGATCCAGATGGTATCGAAGCTACGAAGCAATTAATTTTAGAGAACGACGGTATAATCATCGAAAGTGATGAAGCCTTATCACTGGTGAACGGAGAGAAACGAAGCCTTCTTATGAGTCACAAATCTGCAAAGACGTTAGCCTCGACTTTAGTCTCTAATACTATCGCGGCTATGTAATTGATGTCGTCTAACTGCGAGAGAAACGTGTGACAGAAAAAGAAATACAAGGTTCATACCCGCTTCGAACTCTAAACGGATTATAAATATTACACTGATACGCTAAAAATCTACCTCAGTCGTTATTTATCGTTTAAGGTTGCGTGTCAATCAACGCCCGCGCAGTTTTCTCTATCCTGTTCGCTGATTCATCGTCTACCGTTAATTTGCAAGCGTATCTATGCCTCGTCCCGCAATCGTCACTGTGATAAGAGTATAGTCGGGACGTCGAATTGTAAGACAGTTTCAGGCATCTACAAAAACGTAAAAAAATTAAGTAAATCGGATTGTGAATTCCGATAATAATATTTCTTTTAAAAGTCTCAACTGATTCACGTACAACATGCATTAGGTCGTCCCATACATTCGTACCGCCTATTTTTATATTATATATATATATATATAACATACATAGCTTTATTAAATATAAAATTTGTATAACTTCATAACCTGTCGCTCTTGAATACCTTCTACTGACTAAACTGTAGCATAAAGGTATAGTTACCAGGTCTGTGATTACAAAACGTTTCGTGAGAAGTATAAACACACCGCGACATGAACTTATGGGACGACCTCATATATACGCTTTTCCTTCGTATTAATTGCGACGATCCAACGGACACCTAGATTTATGTGTATACAGAAACTAATTCGAGTGTAATAATTACACTCTGTTGCGTTTCAAATAAAGTGCGGACCTCGTTACACGTGTCACTCGAGTTATTGTTCCTTGACACTTTATATCTTATTACGGATAAGATAATGGTAATTTGGAAAATGAATAAAAATCTCTCACCTGCCATCGCCAGGTACGGTCTGTTTCATGTTTTGATGAACCGGCTTCGCGCTGCTTGCCCAAATCCACAAGAGACCGGGATTCAGCCCTCCTGTCCAGAAATGCTTCCCCTTTAACTTTGAATTCATTTGCAAACTGCTGAATACATCTCGTTTCTCATCATCCTTCTCGAATTCTAGCAAATATCCACCCATTCCGCGGCAGAGACTAGCCGACGACTTCCAGTCGAACTCGCGGTCGCTGAAGTGATAGCAGTTCTGGCCGATTTTAGTGTAGTTTGCTGGACAAGATTCTGTAAAATAAGATTTTTAATAATAAGAAATTTAACCATGACAAATGTAAGACGCGAAAGACGAGTAACTCACTTTTCTGGTTCACGTTTCCAGAAATTACGTAATAGAGGAGTTCTTCTGCTCTTCTTAACCGGTTCTCCAAAAAATCTACTCTATAGACGAGCTTCTCTATAGCTCCTGAAAAAATTTAAGAATAGAGAATAGACAACAGATACAACTCGAGAAATCGGTATTCTTCGAAATGGCAGCCAACATAATTCTGATTTTAACGACTCTCAGTCGCCATTTGGTTTGACGCAATAAAATTATAAAATTTGATGGTCAGTAGCAAATTTTGCACAGTGTATTAATACATGAAATATTAAGATAAAATAATCGAATTCCTTAATTTGCTTGTGAAAAATGTCACCAATGTTCCGTCAGAAAATCTTGAACGTTTATACTGTTAAATTTTCGAGTGCTAAGGGTTAATACGTTAAAGCATTTTGATGCTGCACGATTCGACGGAGCGGAATATAACATAACATAAAATTATTCGAGTTGCTTTATTATCCTTTACACGCTTATCTTTTTGAATGTCGGTGATTACCACAGTATTAAGCATATTAAAAACGCTTCATATTTTTACCTAGAAGGTAGAGATCGGTTTCGGTAACTTCTCGCTTGTTCGGCGTCGATATTTTACTTGTGACCATTAAAGTCTTGTCACCTAGTTTCATCACCTTCGGCGTTCTGAGTGTTCTCGAGTCGGACACCACCCAATTTTCCAGAACCTCGGACCATGATCCCGGTGGTTCGATGACAGAAACGTTTGACAGACTGTCTGACAAAGTCGCACAGATATTAACAATATTATCATATTATCATATTATCATATTATTATTTAATAATATTTTATATTATTACAGACTTATAGTCATCGTTTCAATTGAAACATTAATGCGAAGCCATCATTTTCTTACCAGAGATTCCTATATAAACGTACAATTGCAAAATAACAAGAAGACACAGCTGAAGAAATCCTTTATCCTTCATGGTAAACCTGTAAAGACGATAGTACAGTGAGTATATTAAGAGGAGGAGATTGATAAAGGAAAAAGAGGTAGCTAGCATTCATTTAATCGCGTTCCAACTATCTCTAACTTTCTTAAAGAAAGTCCGAAGGAATGCGCGACACTACATGTAAATAACTTCAGTCGGAAATTTTTTGTGATCCATAGAATGTGAGTTATTAGTTTGTAACCGATGTGACCACGATTGCAGTCACAATTCAATTTAACACTGGAACTACCAGTATAAAGCAAAATGGCCAATTTAGAGTTTCTTCTTTTACAAATTATTTGAAATCGTAAGAATACTTTCTTAATTGGTAATAAATTATTAAATAGATTGATTTATTAATGTACGTTCCGAGGTATGAGTGAATAGAGATTTGAGTAAATCTATTCTTGTAATTTGTACCAGGAAATGCAATCTAGTCAATTTCACTGTTTAGTAGTTTTAGTGTTAAAAGAAATGGCACTACCCGTTAAATGAAGTATATTTTAATACGAGATAAATCTTGCATTCGAAGATAATCCAATTCTAATTGAATATCGAATTTAATCCAAGTTGAATACGTCGAAAGGATTCGTGAACGATTAATTTATCGATCGTCGCACTTACATAATATTCGTGGAACATACACGATACCGCGCTTATTATCATTCCACTTTTCTTTCTTCCGTTTCACCTGGACGATCCGCTTCCGTTCGTGAACCACGCACGACTATTGATCGCGGGATCCGATCGGGCGCAGCCTTCTCTTGGACACTTTCTCTCCTCCCCGGAAAAATGAGTCACTTTCTTCGTCGGATTCGTCTGTGTATCGGTCACGAGTTTTCGCGAGGCTTCTTCGAAACCATTTTCTTCCATTTTTGGTACCCCTTTTCTCTCGTCGTTTCGTTAAATCCTGACCGTCGATCATTATGTTGAGCCAGTCATCGCCAAAATTCGGTTGACTCCACGAAACAAAATACAGAAAAATGATGCAGTAGTATACATTGTTTGTCAAAGTTTCCCTTCAACTGGAAAATCGAGTGCATATTGTCCCTTTACCAGTATAAAATTGATATAGTAACTACCACCTATTCTTTTATCAGAATTTTTTTTCACTTCTGTTGAAAATAACAAGTTAGTCAACGTATAAATATATGTATGTATAAAATAAATGTATTCTTCTTAAAAGTTTTTATTTCTTGGACCTAAAGGGTTATACAGTGTATTTTACTTTATTATTAGAGATGTAATAATATTTCCAATGAACATGTGAAATGCATAAAACAGTATATCCTTAAAGTAATCTCTAATTTTTCTTATTATCTGACACTAAAGTTAGTAATAAGGAAATTTATTTTAAATATAAAAAGTGAAGAGTCAATCAGATGCTTTGATGATACAGTTTGAAAAAATGTTCAAAGTATCCTCGAACGATTTGGTCGATGAACGGTTAAGAACTAGATCGACTCGGATGCATGCGGCAATGGATCAGTTTTTCGAACCAGCAATCATTAATAACAATTATCAATAATCGATAGAATGATGTTCTCGATGATTTTATTGGGAAGATAATGTTCTTGATCAATAGTCATGAGATTCGCAGACTAGTTTCGGCATACCGACGGTCAGAATGCCAGCGAAATCAGCATTTCTCACTGAATTGTCCTACTGACACGCTTCTCTTAACGAAGCGGAACTTCATCTTTATCCTCGATCTCGGATAAAGGAACCTCATCTTTTTCCGGACCGTTATTTAAATCCTATTTCGTTGACAAATAATTCGTACCTGATTTCAGAATGATTTCTCTTCTTCTATGCAAACCGTTCCTTCTGTAAGGTTACTCGAACAGTTTGGACATTTTGGTCTATCTCTTAAAAGTCCTTTAAACATTAGAATGATTAAGATTTTAATAATTCAAACTAATACAGACGTGACAAATTAGTTTAAAGGAAAGATCTAATAACATCAGAGCTACTGAACAATCGAATCGACTAGCTTTCATTTCATAGAAACCACGAAGATACATGTGGTATTGAGACCTTGATTTACTTGTGTTTTACTTTATTAATATATCGCTTCATTCGAGAATCTCCTAGACAAGCAATATCCTTTCACCAATCATGAAAAAAGAAATCAGAAACAAGTCATTGCGATCTGTGTGGTTACTCTAGAGTTAACACTTAGGGCTAACCATTCCTGATTACTTCTTCCTGCAATTATTGGAAAGACGACAGATGCTTCTCTGAGAAGCTACTAAGGAAATTGATTTACGGATATGCAAACTGAATCATAAATCAATTGAAATATCGGTAGATGCGTTCTTGAATATTCTCTAAAGAAATTTCAAGTAGTAGATTTGACTAGTCGATAGTTTTAGAGTTAGAGAGGAGCATGGCGGCGCAGTGAAACGATGATTTCGAATTGAAACGGGAAATAAAAAAGCCACGCGTGTTTCTTTGCACGTATTTAATGAAATAACTATAGCTGGACCCGAGTGCCCAGCCAATTTGGTCAACTATACATTGCGTATGTACATCGTGGTGAAATTGGTTATCGCGTCCGGCGACGATACAACATCCCGCGCGGAGGAATCCTTTCATCTCGGCCTTCAGTCTTTCGTTTCGCGGGTCAATTAGAAGTACACGGTGAGATTGAGCCGCTCGTTCCCCGCCTGGCTGTTTTTGGACCTCGTTTCAGCCGTCACTTCCACGCTGTCCACCGTCTGGAAGATAAAAACTTTCTAAAAGGGGAATTCGCTTGGCGAGTTGCGACGCCGGTGCAAGTACAAAATCCGTTGATCCCGGATGACCCCGGCACGATCGTACAACAGAACTTAGTGCAGACGTTATTTTTAGCCTCCAAAAGTCCGCTGGTTTTTCTTTTAATTAAACTTTGATTATAAACGAGGCGTAATATCGTAATACCGGCTAGCCTTTAAGAGGTTTCGAATCCAAGATGGCGACGCGATTTCAAGTTGGAGGTAACCATTAAGAGTTCATTAAGAATCTTACAATCATGTTACTTTACAACTGGGCGAACGTTAACCTTAGAAGATCTGGGAGTGGGTTGAGAAGTATCAAAAATAAATAAATATTCTTTTTTTCGTTCGGAATAGTTCGTAAGGTTGTTTATTGTCGCTTGTGTTTCCAAGAATCGTTTTTAGTTGAGCGATGATCTTCTCGGAAGGAGCATTCGAAATACTGGGTCGATGCAAAAGTTTCGAAGTCTTTTTATGAGAAACAAAAAACAAGAGTTATCAACTGTTCGTTAGTTAAATTGAAGCTAAGTTAAAGCAAAGAAAGAAGCGTCCTTTATATTAGTTTATATACAAACTATAAGGAGAGAAGCATTATTTTGTTAACCACGCGCGAGAAACGTCAAAATGTTTGCATCAACCGAATAAATGGAAATGCTTGTGGATTGTTTGCTTAGCTTTTCTTGGGTTAAATTATTCGCTTAGTGTCCTGTTTACCCTGTCATCGTCGTCCCACGATAGTTTCTTAACTCTTTGCGAGACAGAGCAGGCTGGCCAGGCTGGCAACAACGAGTCCGGCAGATCAGCCCCGGCGTAATTGGAAGATTCGCGGGAAGCGGCGTTCAAGTTCGACTTCGCGCTCAAGTCGTTCATGTTCTGCACCAGGCCGCCGATGTTGGGGATGTTTGACGTTGCGGATAGGCCCGGTGGATTTGGAGCTGGTGCCACTTTGTGCCTTGCGTACAGAGGCATTTGCCTGGCTGACGATAAACCTTTAAAGTTGCGTGAACATAGAATTATTCAAATACTCCTATACATTCTAGGAGATCACTTGATGGCTAGGTTGAGACTGGCGGGATTGTTCAATCAGTATTCATCTTTTCCCATTGAATTTTTTGTTAGTTCCATTGTCTAGTTTCTGATATCTTTTTATCATTAATTTTCTATTCGTTAATACGGTCACACTTAACCGATCGAAACTATGAAACTATAAACTAGGACACCTTTTGTCGCTGGGCCGTTCCGCTAGACATCAAGCTTTCTCCCAACTGAGTTGATACCTTAAGTTATTATAATTTCTGATTTACTGCAACCTATTATTGTGACCTCCATCTGTTCAACATTAGATTTACAGACACTTATTGTATAGTTTATTCTATTGTCCGTAGAACAAGCGTTCGTTTCTCCAAATCCCAAAAACTTAGAGGTTTAGAAGCGGATAATTAGGTTACGTATTCATATAATCGCTTCAAACAAGATCGACGTGAACATTTAACAAATAACTTTTATAAAATTCGATGCGCGCCGAATTGGTGGCTTCCGCAGACCCAGTGTCAAGAAGATTCACTCAATCGCAGACTCCATAGCTAGCCAGTTAACGTGTTGATCCTAAGTGGACTCGGGGACTTATCAGTAGACAGTGGACGTTTATTCCTTTTTAACGCGTCGCGTCGCACGGATTTAATTAAAATAGAAGGATCAATAGAAATCAATGGTACTCTTTTATTTCTGAGCAACAGGAGTTCATAAGTTCTATTTATTAGCAGATTGTTCATTACAATCGAGTCTACTTGTCGGAAAGATGGAATATCTAATATAACGAGTAAATACATAATGAAATGGATTATTGTTTCGTGGAAAGTGAGACTCACTTTTGATCGTGGCGCTGTAAGAGTTCCTCGCCCCGAAAACAGGGTTCTCCACGTCGTTCCCCCCGTCGTTCACCTCTTGCATCTCGCCGTGGTTACTGTCATCGACGATTTCCTGGTCAACGTGATCCTCGTCGTCGCGGTCGCCTTCGGCGTCATCCTCCTCGTCGTTCTCGTCGATACTGTGCGGACCCTCGTGACGATTCCCTCTTCGAGGAACTTCCATGGCGTCCTGGAGCATGCTGGCGCCGAGCACCTGGGGAGTGGGGCTCAACGCGGAGGGCACCGGTGATTTTTCACGGTACCCGGTCCCCACGGAACTCACGGACCCGCTAGTCTTTGGCCTCTTACTGCGAGAATCGTGGAAAATTCAGTATCACATAAGACGGTGTATTAACTCCTTCCCTTACAATATTGCGTGAGACTCGTGACGAAGGTTTCAAACGGACTTTAACAAACATAAATATTACTTGATTTCTTTGATTTAAAATTAAATATTGTTCTTCCTTTATGAATTATTATACTCTAGAGCAAACATAGACATAATATGCTCAGAATTTTTCTCTTGTTTTCAATAAATTAATATCGACAAAGTAGGTGCATTGATCATAATGGAAAAAGAAATCATAGGTCAAGAGGTTAACCCCTTGCCTACAACAACGAGTGAGACTCGTAGTGAAGATTTTCAACATGATTCAACAAATATATGTATTACTCAGTATATTCGAATTCAAAGCAAATATTATTCCTCTGTAATCAACTATTATACTTGAAAGGAAATATAGGTATAACATATGCTTAAAATTTTTCTCTTTTTCCAGTAAATTATTAATGACAAAGTAACCATATCGATCAGAGTTGAGAAAGAAATCATAGGCCAACGGGTTAACACTAAAATAACCAGTTAAAATGAACCATTCTTGATTTCATCTTTTTGCAATTATTAAAAAGGTAACAGATATTCCTCTGAGAAATTACAAGAGAAATTGATATAGCAATGCGCAAACTGAATTGAAAATCAATTAAAGTCTGAGTAGAGTGTTGTTTCATTCACTCACTGTTTATATATGTACAAAATTAGAACGAGTATTATGACTCCTAGCAGGCCCAAGACTGCGCCGAAAACAGCTACCAGGAGAACGCTGCTGCCCAGCCAAGCGGGCGCAGCTCTAGCAGCGATCGGCAGTGATCCGGTGTTTGGTATGTGAACGATCACTGGGATCATACTCGATCTGTAATGCAAATAGCGTATGCATATACTTTCATGAATCTATAGAAAGAAATAAAATAAAACGATCAACCAGTTAACTTTGTTGGACGAGCATACACGTAATTTAAAATATTAAAGCAGTACTAATTCTTTTAACAATGAATTATAGGTGTAATTCTTTATAGGTGTATTATTATTTGAAATTAAATTCCTTAGTTAACGGGTTGAAAGAATTTAATTATCTTTGAGTTCGCACCTGGGAGGGCGACCAGAATCAGAAGCGACGGCCACCAATCGAGCCAGGGAGCCATTTATCGTTGTCGATGACCTTAAGATTAACTCTCCGTTGTCACGAATCTCGAATGACCTGATGCAATTTTATTTGTAATTTTGTAACGTTGATAGTGTTCGTATAATTGTGTACTTAACACTAGAACTACATACCATTTAATACGATTAATGTGTAATCCTTATAGAAATTGTAACGATACGTTATTTTCAGTTTCTTCGGATATTCATTACTGTATTCAAGTGAAATTATTTATTTTCAAGGTCACCTCGAATATTCAATGCTTTTAAGATATCAGTAATTGCGAAAGGAAAAGACCGAAACCAGTCATTTTAACTGGCACGATGATTCTAGTGTTAATCATTTCAAACAATGTTTTAATTTGTATGTTTCGATATTATTAGATATTATTTGGTTCATCTTACCTTGCGTCGGGTCCTCGAAGAGATAGACTCACTTTGTCGTCCCTGTCGCCATCGGCAGCCTCCAGCTTCCCTATAGACCATTCGTTATTAAGAACACGCGATTAACATTAGAATTAACCAACAGTAAGAGTCACTGTTGCAATTATACTTTCTTATCAAAATTCTGCGAATAAATTTATTTCGATTTCAGTCATATTTCAATCTAGCCTGTGTCTAAATCAACTTGTTTAACAACTTTTCAAAGAAGCATCTGTGTCTTTTAATAACTATAAAAAACGGAATTCAAAATGAGCGATTTTGACCTATACGACAGCTCTAGTGTCAACGGACATTAGTCAATATTAATGAAACGGCATAGGAGAAAGTAGCTCACCGACAATGGATCCCTCTTTCAAGGTTGCAGCGTGAAATTCGTATCTCGGATGACGAAACCGGGGTTCCCATTCGTTCACGTCCTCGACGGAGACGTTCACGCGCGACGTGTCATTCTGGAATGAAATTTCATCGACGGTTATCGATGAGCTTTTAACATAAAGGATAAACCAGGGCGAATCGGATCACGGGGTGAATCGGTTCAAAATATGAATTCAGTCTACATTTATTGTATCCCAAATTATATTTTTCATTTCTTGCTTCTCATTTGGAAATGAGAGACTTAAAAATTCTTGTTCACTGTTTATGGGTAACGTTATTATTAGCAACGTAGAGATGCCTCGGTTTATTCTATGTTCTGTATCATTTTTGTTTTATAATGAAAAGTCAAATTCGTCGTGAAAAATCGATAAATTGATTAATCTTGTATGTATACAGTTTTATTATAATTATAATATTATAGTAATATTTTAACAGTAATAATAATTCATGTATTGTTTAACGAACTCACGTGATGACCGTCAGTGACCCGAACCAAAAAACTATGCTGGATCCTCCTCTCGTAATCCAGAGTTCCCTTCAAAATCAGTTCACCGGAGTTCGTGATGGAGAATCTTTCTAGATCCTCGATCGCTCCGACCAGCCAGAATCTCAGGTTCTGAAATCAAAGTATTTTTATGCCGGTTGCATTAACCCGTTGACTGCCACGGTGTTCACCGATGACCGGACCTTCCAAATTGCTCGGAAACAATTACAATAAGAAAATTGATATCTAATGAAAATATTTACTAATTCAAGCAGCTACATGATAGTGTAATATGACTGCTGTGGTACCAAATCATTTATTATAATATAATATGATATAGGGATAATATAGGTAGGTAATTATTAGATATATATATATATTTGCTTTTATTATGAAAGAATAAGTATTACTATACTAAATGTTCGAAATTCTCGTAGTAGTCAACGTGTTGATGATGCGAATATTCGTTTTCTTGCAATTAATACTCACGGAGTCCGCTTTGTTTACGGCCGTCGTCAATAAAACGCTTCCTGGTGGCGTGTTCTCCGGGATGCTCGTCTGATGATCCCGCCTGATGAACCTAATTGGCAATCTTCCGCCTAATTCGCATCGTTTTGATTGATTAGAGCCTGTTTTAGGACTGGAATCGATCAAACGTAACAGTTAATTGCTTACCAGCGGTGGGTTCCACGCTCCAATCGCTTTCACGCGAAACCACTATCGTCGAAAGCGCATATTTGTCCGGATTGTCTACCTGCGTTGCCTGCAATCAGATTTCCTTCTGTCCTCATAACGAAGATAACACGAAACGTCGAAGTATGTACATACTTGCTTTATACTAATGTACAGTATGACTGTCGAATTCTTATTAATTCATGATTCCACAACGATTCCACAAACGAAAATTTCGTTGAAATTTTATTTTGTGTAAACGGTTCGTATTGCCGGTCAGGTTGATGAAAAATCATTGTATAGGGTTAAATACAACGTATAGTAGGTAAACCAGTGCGTAGCTTTCGTTGAAATAAATGCACTTTGGAATAAAAATATTGTATATGACAGCATGTTGAGGTAAATAACTGATACTTATGCATACTTAGGTATATAACATCGGGCGCTTCGATGGCGCTTGCCACGCATTGAAATCACCGAGTACTCGTCTGCACTTTCACTCTTTGTACTTTATTATTTAACACTAATAATAAATTAATCAAGAACTTCGATAGATGCACCTTCAGAGTTTGTATAAAGAAATTAGAAAAAGGCTATTCGACTCTTCGGTAATTCTAATGTTAATTATTCGATCTTTCTATCGAGTATTTCTTTATTATTACCGATATTAATTTGCAATCGAGAGACAATTTGTAATTAAAATAAAATTATAATTTATCAAATTCCGATTAATCGAATGCATTGTTTACCTTGACGACAATTGTCGCCGGAGATAACAATTCGTGCTCGTACAGTAGCCGCGTGATTACGACCTCGGCAGTTTCAGGGTTCAGAGTGAGAAATGGTAGTATTCCGCCTTGGATTGTGTACTTGACCGGCGCGTTGATCCCCAAATCTTGGTCCACCGCTTTTATCGGAGCTGGATCCACTTGCAGCACCCTCCTCTAAAGAAATAATTAATTCGTTAATCGTGTCCGCTATTTTTAATCCCTTGCCATACCATTTAACGGAGCAAAATCCGGGCCATAATTATGGCGACCGATATCTCATTCGTGTTGTCACATCGAGTCAGACTCGTGACAATTATGTTTGGTCCAAAATTTTTATCACGAAGTTAACACTAAACGTACCGGCATTTTATATTAGGTTTACCAAAAAGTTCTGGTTGAAAGAGGTTGTTCGTAACGATAGAAATTATATTGTTCAGTAAATAGTAATAAATATATTGAAAATGTTTAATAATAATAATATACTAATAATATAAAAATTTAATAATTTAAATTATTTTTTTTTATTACAAAACGGACAGAACTTTCCGATAGATCTGACATATGTAGTAAACTTTCGATAATCCCAACACAAGCAACCTCTTCATAATTACAACATTCGGCATCCGATTTGTGTTGCAATTATTCAATGTTCACTGTATCTATTCCTATCATAACCAGTCAAATAACTGATTACAAAATAAAGGTAAACAAGTTAAACGATAAATTTCTCTTAATGGAAACAGAAACGAAAGGAAGGAGCAAACATTGATCAACTGACTAATCGGACAATACGAGGATTGATATAAAGTTAAGTGGATGGAAGAAAATGCAGCAATTTTAAAGCAAATTTTAGAACCGGTCGCGGTACGTTTATCGTTGAAACTCGATCTAACGAATAAATCTTCTAATTGTACCGGTTTTATTTGTCGTGGTATGATGATTTTATATTGATCGCTTTGGAACGCAGGATTCTGGTCATCCGCGTCGATCACGTTCACGTGGAGGGTTGTGGTGGACGATTTCGGCGGGTTCCCTTGATCCTGAAGGTAAAATGTTAATTGTCCAAAGTGTACAGAGGAAAAAGATATTTCGTAAAACAGTTGACAGTGATATTAGACTGCGGATTTCTGTGCATTCACTGGAAATTCGAAAATGCGATGTTGCACGAAAATATCCAAAGGGTAATGCTGCTTATAGTATTTTTCTATGAGAAACTATTTGGCATCGTAATTTTACGTTTCTAGTGATGTTCCGAAAGCTTTGAATTTGCACAAAAGATGCGCAGTCTAGTAATTATAATTTTAAAGTTTATCACACCTGCGCTCGAATATCGACGGAAAAATTGGACAGAGTCTCGTAGTCCAGCGGTTTCCTGAGAACCAAAGTGCCCTCTAAAGCGTTCACGAACACGAAGTAATCCTGAAAAGATGTCTGACTGTACAGTATGGTTCAGAAATTGAGAGCACGCATGAAACAACAATCAATACGAATTACCGAATGTGGTCCTGGCAAGACAGCGTATTGCACAGTGGAAAATGGTCCTGGTTGGTCAGCATCCGCGGCTCGTACTCCTTGCAGAACCCTCGTGCCAACCACAGTGACCTAGAAGTAAAACGAATTGTCAAGATAAAATACGTTTATCGTAGAACAAGTTAAATAACAAATAGTATTATTTACCTCGGAGATATTAAGCACGTAAGGCGCGTTAACGAATTGCGGGGCATTATCGTTGGCGTCTGTCACGCGAATATTCACTGGTATCACGAATCCCTGGATGATCGAGTGTGAATTAATATTTTTTATTTCAAAGAAATAGAAACCCTGCGATTCAATTATCGTATTGGGAGGGCGCATAAACGAGATCCGTTCTGTTTAACATTAGAATGGTAAAATTGACAGTTTTATATTTTTTTATAAAATTCTTGAAAATACATTTATTGAGATCTCAGTTCGCTATTCACCCGTCTGGTAATACTAGTAATGGATCTAACGTTTTTATTAAACGAATTAGATGGCGCTTTCGATTAAACGTATGTTTACTGTGTACGACCATTTAAATGTCGAACAAGTTGATGTTAGTCTTTCGAAACCAACGTTTCATTACTTACAGAACTTTCTTATGCGCCAGCCCAATATTACGGTCGGACCGTAGATTTCTATGCATTCACGTGAAACTTGGAAATGTCCAAAGTATGCGAATACTTTTTATCGTAATTATACTCTTCAAAATTTGAATTTCCATAAAAACTCGCTGATTAATTATGACGGATCAAACTTACTGGATCCAGCGTGTGCTTCCTCTCGCAGATCACGTTCACGTACACGCTCGCGGGCCCGTCAACACCCTCTTTGTCTAGGGGTCTTACTAGGGTTAAGTTCTTTGAATACGCTGCGAACGCGACGGGACTGTCGATTTCCTGCAGTCTGAGCTCGACGTCTCCTTGAGGCCCAGGATCCCCTAGCACACCGAGAACACCCACGGTGTCACCGACCGGCAGATCTTCGTTGACGAAAAGGTGAGCGGCGGTGGCACCGTTCTCCAGAAAACATCGCGCGTCACGGATCACTATAAAATATATAATAAATATATAAACACATAACTATATCAATGTATCGATATATCAGTGTATCAATGTATCAATATATCAATATATCAATATATCAATATATCAATATATCAATATATCAATATATCAATATATCAATATATCAATATATCAATGTACAAATGAACAAGTATATAAATACATAAATGTATCAAGACATAAGTATGTTAATATATAAATATATAGGGTAACTCCGGCGGACACGACCGTATGGGAGAGATGGTCATCTCCACTATCTTCTATCAATAATTGGATACAATTACAATTACAATTGATGTTTCTTCGTTTGTAATTTCCTTCTTATTGATCATTTTGAAATCAGGACAAATTTCATTTCACGTGGCAATCGGTTGTGAGTATTTAAGAATTCACAGTGCAAGTGATTAATCGCGTGAAAGAAGTATAAAAAAGATACGTTATCGTTTGAACGATTCAGGAGACCGGATGTTACCGTTTCTTTTTCATATCAGGCGGAAATAAGTTCTTAAAGACCGGAAGTAACGAAAAGGAAGAGTTCGATA